TGGTTTATCCTCAGACTTCTCACTCTTTTGGTCGGATCGTTTTCCCCCTGGCTCCTTCTTTGAGTGGAAGAACTCCTCAACGCTCATATATTTCTGAGCTCAGCTCAGCGCTTTAGAGAAGGTGCTCGGCGTCTTTTTCCCAAAAGAGAATGAAAGATGTTCATCCCTGATGCCGTACATGAAAGTTAGGAGTGACACTGCATCCGTGAGACCCTCAACCGAGACGCATAGTCGTGAAAGCTAGTCGTGAAAGCTCTCTGTTGCTCTCCGCTTGATGGTCAGAAGATAAGCCATGGGTCGGCTTCGACTTCATCCTCCTACAAATTGGGTCACAAATGCCCTGGCCAAGCTCTTGAAGCTCGAGATCAAACCTCGCTTCAATTATCGAAACCATGCCCTGGCCCACCAACTCAAAGTTGTCGAGAACACCCGACATCTGATCGCCTCGGACACCCCGTAAATGTCCATCCGTTCTCGGTAGGCGTCAAGGTGGTCTACCGGATCGGCCGACCCGTCGAATTGTTTCACCGTTGGTAGCTTGAATTTTGGAGGGACCTTCTCCCCCATGATTTCTTCAGTAAATGGCGAGTCGGCTTGATCCAGTAGCTCTTCGAGATCGAACCCCTTCTCTTTTTTACTTTATTGCTTTTCAGATAACTTGGGTCGATCTGTCGGTTTGTCTTTGTTGAGGTCTATGGGCTCAACGTGTTGTTTATCTGTGTTGTTCTTGCCCCCATCTGGTACCTGGAATTTCTATTGCTTTCTGCCTTTTTGCTGGCCTCGGGAGTCGAAAATCCGAGTTGGTCGTTTGATGTTTCCTCCTAGCCTCAGCCTGCTCCCCTACACTATTCGTTGATTCTTCGGCCTCACTCTCTACTGGGCCTTTTCCCTTTTGGGGGTCTCTGACAAGGGTACGTCGCCGGCCTCTCATTGTTTTAATTGTTGAAGTAGTTGAGTCATGTGCTGAAACATGCCCTCTACTTTTTCTTCCAAGGTTACGAACTGATTTTGGAGCTATTCAGTGGCTATTATTGTAGGCACCTCAAGCGGGCCTTCCTAGCATTCCGAGTTCTGTCGATTCGCCTCGCCCTCGGATCCTCCTATCTGGGGGTCACTCAAGTTTAACTTTCTTTTTGCATGATAGTCATCGTCAGAGTGTCGTGGACTTCTTTTCGACGTCATGCTTGTTCAACTATACGGCTTGTTTCTCGTCCCCATAAACAGCGCCAATTGTTGATGCGTGGATTGTGCTCTCTGGGTTCCTTCCGAGGTTCGCACCAAGCTTGATCATCAGGGAATCGAAGACCTGCAAAATCGAACAAGGCTAGACTGGTGTGACTCTTGTCATACAGGCTCCGATGCCTAAGTTAGCAAGGGAGGTGGTTAAGTAATGGAATTCAAGTGTAGAACTCGGCTTACCTTAGGGACCTTTTCCTCCATGATTTCGTCTGTAAATGACGAGTCGACTTGATCCAGTAGCTCTTCGAGATCGAACCCCTTCTCTTTTTGACTTTATTGCTTTTCAGATAACTCGGGCCGATCTGCCAGTTTGTCTTTGTCGAGGTCTATGGGCTCGACGTGTTGTTTATCTTGGTTGCTCTTGCCCCCATCTGGTATCAGGGATTTCTATCGATTTTTGCCCTTTTGCTGGCCTCGGGAGTCGAAAATCTGAGTTCGTTGTTTGATATTTCCTCTTAGCCTCAGCCTGCTCCCTACACTGTTCGTTGATTCTTCGGCCTCACTCTTTACTGGGCCTTTTCCCTTTCGAGGGTTTCTGACGAGGGGTACGTCGCCGGCCTCTCGTTGTTCTAATTGTTGAAGTGGCTGAGTCATGCGCTGAAACATGCCCTCTACCTTTTTTTTCCAAGGTTGCGAACTGATTTTGGAGCTGTTTAGGGGCTATTATTGTAGGCACCTCAGGCGGCCGTTCCTGGCGTTCCAAGTTCTGTCAATTCACCTCGCCCTCGGATCCTCTTATCTGGGGGTCACCTAAGTTTAACTTTCTCCTTGCATGGTAGTCATTATCAGAGCGTTGTGGACTTCTTTCCGGCGTCATGCTTGTTCGACTATACGGCTTGTTTCTTGTCCCTATAGACAGTGCCAATTGTTGATGTGTGGATTGTGCTCTCCCGGTTCCTTCCGAGGTTCGCACCAAGCTTGATTATCAGGGAATCAAAAACCTATAAAACCGAACATGGCTAGACCGGTGTGACTCTTGTCACACGAGCTCCAAGCCTAAGTTAGCAAGGGAGGTGGTTGAGTAATTGAATTCAAGTGTAGAACTCGGCTTACCTTAGGGTTAGGTTAGATGGCCTATTTATAGTCGCTTGGAAGGTTCCATACTAGTCTAAAGGAGCCCTAGTTCGTTGCTGCAAAGCCCAAGGTGCATGGAGATCAGAAGAGGGCGATTACCGGTCTTGGTAATGGGCCGAGCCCGAGTCGGGACTGAGCCTTGGTCGGCTCGGTCCGGTTCTTCCGGTGGCCTCTCTATTCCTCTCCTGCTTGGTTGACTTGTTGCTTTGTCGTTTTTCCTCTGTATAACAATTGTCTTAAAAAGAAATATATTTTTCTCTAAACAAAGATGTTACTATATTATTGTTATTATTTCATTGCTACAAGATAACCAAGCGTGTTTAGCATATTTCTCTTTTGTTTTTCAAATATATTGCTTACATTTATAAAATTCATGCCAAAATTCAAAAAAATAAAAATACATATTTTTATTTTGACATTTATATAATTAGTTTACCATCTAATGTAATTTCTTAAAACAGATATTAACTTTCTTAAAAGTTAGATGTTGGAATTAATTTCCTAAAAAATAAAATATTAGTTTATATGTTGATGTAAGATTTGGATCCCGACTCCGACATTGAATGTTCCAACGAACACTTGTACACACAGTCGATATACACATATGTATGTGATGCTAAGCCCAACACACTCTCATGCCTAATTCAGACAAAGAGTCAATTAAGAATAGCAAAAGTAGGACCGTTGAATGTACCTCGCGTCCCAACTTGATCTCCTCTAATTAACAAAAACAGTCTATTTGAATTGATTTAGGTGGATTGACTCAACTAGGTCTGGTTGGGTGGTTCAATCCGAGCGGCTTGGCTCGACCGATTCAATCCACATTGCTTGCTTAATCTCATTTCGTGTGAACTACCATTGGCCCAACCATCACGAAATTTGGAATCGTTGCGTATTCTCTTTTTTCGTGATGTTTTTTAATCGTTACCAAAGCCATTTTTGTGACATTTTTTAACTGCCACGAAGAACTCATTTTCTCGTAATATTTTTAACCGTCACGAAATCTATTTTTCGTGACGTTTAACGTCACGAATACCTTTGGTGACGAGAGAATAAGTATCATCAGAAAAAAAAATGTCAAAAAAGAATTTAATGATATTTTTCAACGGTCACGACAAACCAAATTTATACCAGTGGATATGATAATTTCACCGGTAATAGTTTACATATAAGTGTCACCATCACCATAATTATTGCATGTTAATGGCTGTAATTTTGGGAATATGTTTTAATTTTATTTAAAGAAATTACAAATATATAATAATAATAATAATWATTATTATTATTATTATTATTAGTCAGAGGCATATTCATGGACAATTTTGGTCCACACATTTTTTACCTTTTTTTTTCTTTTTGCGGTGATTTGGTCCATAAAAGTTAAGAGTACTATTTTGAGGTCAAATTATTATTATTATTATTTTAACGGAATTGTCAGCTTTGACCTTTTGTATTAATTATTATTATTTTATAGCAAACAAGTCAGAGAGGCATTCGTTATCTTTGAATGAAACTGAACTTTATTTGGATAAACCGTAATTAACTAAAACCATATTCTTCAATTTGACTTCACTCATATTAAAAAGGGAAAAAAAAATTCATATATTAAAACTTTATTTTTGTTTTTGGACTTTTTGTATTTATTTATTTTTGTTTTCATAATGAAATGTTGAATTATATATCTTTTTTCTTTTATATAAAATTATAAATTTAGTCACTAAACTTTAAAGATAATTTTTACGGATATTATGAAACTTAGGGTGCAAAGAGATTGATTTAGATACTTGTCTTTTTTCTTTTTTTATGTATTGATTTTTTTTCCAAAAAATATTTAATTGTTGATAGCATCATCTATCTTTAACTGACCACCATTAAATTTTTAACATGTAGGAGGGAGAAATGAATGCACAAAGTAATAGATAATATATATATATATATATATATATATATATATATATATATATATTTTATATATATAAAAAATTGTCGGATTTTAAGCTGTGCATGAAGTTAGGTGCTGACTAGTCAGTAAGTCAGCACCTAAGTATTATTAGTTTGGGTCAATGTCCTAGTTGGTGTTGTTAAATTTTTTAAACCATGGTTAATATTGTAATTTTCAAATTTTATAGAATTATGAAATTTTGTATAAAATTATAGCAATATTAAAGTTTGAAGGTGTTTAATCATATCAATTCTTATATAAGTTCCAACTCAAATATAAATCAATTGATTAAGATATTATAACTTCACCAACAAATCCCATTTCACATATGGTTGAACTAAAAACTATATGTCAACTATTACTTTATGGAGGAAGAGAATCTACCACTTAGACTCGAATCGAGATGTTCTAGCACTCCTTCCTGAGACGTTCTAGCACTACTTCCTAAGAACAACATGTCCACCGATTTCACCATAGCAGCTTTTTTGAAATCATAATAAGCTACAATTGAAAAAATAGCATCAATTTATCAACTTAATGTAATATTTTTAAGTTTAGAGGCATTGGGTAACGAGGTTATTACAATTCTTTCATTAAAAAATAGAAAAAGAAAAACCAAATAGAATATTCCAAACATATAAAAAAAGAAGAACACAAAATTCAAAATTCAAAATTCAAAATTGGATTCAAACCACCAAAACCAAGAAATCATTTTCATTGAAAAAAAAAGGGAAAAAGACAGCTAATAGCTCAATCAATTTGTTGCTATTTTTTCTTAATCAGAATGTGAAAACAAAATCCGAAAAAAAAAATGAAAACATTGAACCTATTCTGGTGAGCTGTAATCATTAATTTCCGGCCATCTCGGCACCGAAAATCCCAAATCTCCGGCTCCGCCGCCGCCGTAGAAAGCGGAGGAGGATGACGACGTGGGATTTGGCGAAACGACGTCGGAGAAGGAGATGAGATTGGCGTGGGGGGAAACGACGTCGTAGGGGGCGGTGGCGGTGGCTGTGGCCGGGGGTGAGGTTCGGAGGCGGACGTTTTCGGGGAAGTTGAGTTTGGCCTTGTTGCCTCGGAATCGGAGGGCGGCTTGGTCGTAGGCTCGGGCGGCGGATTCCGGCGTGTCGAAAGTGCCGAGCCAAACTCTGACGGCCTTAAATGGGTCCCTAATCTCCGCCGCCCATTTTCCCCACGGCCGCTGCCTCACTCCTCTGTATCTCCTCATCGCCGCCATCCCCTCATCATTATTCCGGCTTGTTTCTCTGTCGTACTCGTAAACCACCGCCGTGCTGGTCTCGCCGCCGGCCGCCGCATTTCTCCCACTCTCTACAACACAATCCAATACAATCAATCAAATATACTTGAAAATTTACCATTACTTATCCGTTTAGTAATAAATGTACTATTTTTCTCGAGATTTGAGGTAGTACAACATGTGGAAATAGAAGTTTAAATTCACACCCTCGTAGTTGGAGGAAGGTATCAATTACTCACTTTCAAAATTAGTTTAAATTTGTTATTAAGTGGATAAGTTGTTTCGATTAAGTTTAATTAGAAATAGTGTTGTTTTGTTTGTTATATCTTTTTATAGATATTTTCAAAATCAAAATTTGAATTTTGACACCCACGAGAATAAATAAATATATATATATAGAAATTTAACTAAAAATTTAAATATGTTGGTGAAAAGCTTCAAAAACAAAACTAACTTTTAGAGATAGAAAATAAGAAATGAAAGGGTTTTATGGCTTTTTGTTACTCTTTAAAATTTATGAGAAGTTTGGAAAAGAAAATTCAACTTTCTCCTTTAAATGGTCTAATTTTTTTTTCTAGTAAAACTTACTAAAATATTATGTCACCTCTCTTTATAAAAGGAAAAAAAAAAATTCTTAAACAAGAGAGGAAGTAAAACTGGAAAAAACACTTCACCAAAGAGCTGAAAGATTAAAGATTGAACTTCCCATCTTTATAGAGAAAACAAGCTAAACTCATTTTTCGCTGGCTAGAAAAAAGAAATTATAGTTTATAATATTACATGGTTAAACTATTAGTTTGAAGATATTGTTTTGAAATGAAGATTGAGTGGTCAGGTTGATGAAATCAAAGAAGAAACAAATTCAAAGAATACATAATTTTACCTGTGAAAGCATGTGGAGAATAAGAAGAAGCAGCGCCAGAAATAGGCCTTGTAATTACATCGTCTTCCTCATCTTCATCACGCCCTCTCTTGTTCGAATACGACGACGGAGCGCCCCCGACGCGGTGGGGGGCATCACCGGCGACGACATGGGTGAGGGCCGAGACGATAACAGAGGTCTCTGCTTCTCTGTTAAAACCAGACAAGATATTAGAAGAAGAAGAATAAGGCCATTCCTTATGCTCTCTAATATTTGTATTATCTCTTGAAGAATTCGCCACCTTCGTAGTAACAATAATAATACACATCAAATGAAAAAAAAGATGGAATTTTGGAACTGTGGCTGGAAAAATTGGTTTTGAAATTTTGCTGCGTGTGTTGTGTTGTTGAGCCATTTATTTATATTGGTGTACAAAGCAAACTGCAAGTTGGCTATGGGCTATGACTTTGAAAATAGCCAAAAGCACTATTTTAATAAGCACCGCCATTGATCCCATCACAAAGCCTTATGGGGGAAGATAGCCCATAACTTTGGCTTCCTTCTTATGCCCTTAAAACTAACACAACTTCTTCCACAAGTACTTCTCTCTCTCACGTCAACATCGGGTTGGGAACTTAATTTTTGTCGATATTTTCATGAACGTTTTCATATATTTGTGAATTCGATATTGAATAACAGACAAATACCCATAGTACAACATAAAATTTGATGAAATATAAAATATCACTTGTATTGACACGACATGACAATAGGTTGATAGTTGGAAGAGTCTCAAAGATGGGTAAATTCAAGACTTCCCGCTTTGATACCATCTTAAAAAGATCAATAAACCACCACACTCAATCCAAAAGCTTAAGCGAATGGATAGGGTAAATTTAATTCATATATTTGATATCTAATAGAGTGATTGAACGTTTTGGACAAAAAAAGACATGCACAAAAGAGCCAAACATTCCGATGCTCAGGTCGGTTTTAGCTTGACTTTAATATGGAGTCTGAGCTAGATAGAATGTGATACCTGATGCGGAAGTGAGACCCTATATTTATAGGTTGTGAGTCCAACAGGCCATCCAACGAGCAGTTGTTAGTGTCATCCTGAAAGTTAGGTTTGTCGGGTGCCAAAGATCAAAYATGGGTCACACCTTCATTGCAGGAGAGAGAATTGCTACAGCGTTTGCGGTTAAGTATGGAAGGTCAGTCACTCCCAAGATCGCTCTGAGATAAGACCTTAAGCCTTCCGACTTTTCTTTGTTCGGCACGTGGCAAGGTTAGTTTTCTACCCCAACATTATATAAATAAAAAATTAGAATATAAAATTTCCAACTCTATCTGCAGGAAGATGAGCATTTGCCGCAACCTTCTTTATCTAAGTCAAATTCTGATCCATATTTTCATAAATTAAAAGTTTGGGCATAAGGGATTAAATTAATAGACCCTTTTTAAAATACCAAAAAAATATTACCAATATTAACAATAATTATTTACAATTTATACGAAAATAAAATACGAATAATTTTTTTTAACAATAGTCTTCAACATCAACATTCTGTTCAGACATAGACATAAATTTTTTTATTAACGTTGCAATTTACTCTCTAGTTGTCACTTGTCAGCTAAATGATTTAAGAATTTAGTCCCGAAAAAGTTTTAATTTGGTTCCTGTAGTTTAGTTAAATCTCATACGTCATTCCTAAATTGTATTTTGCTCACTCGAAAGATCGATCTATTTTATTTTATTTTATTTTTTACTCCACCCTAAATTCTAACATAATCAACTAACACATTTTAAGGATATGTGAATAATGACAATCACAAAGATGATTTATAAAGTTTGACTAAACTATAGAGACGAAATTTTGACTAACACTCCCACCATAAATACTAAATTAAAGCTTTTAAATCATAACCAACTTGAATAATACTTAGCAGCACTCATTTCTAGTTGACCTATGACCGCCACTAAATTTTTGACAAACAAAAGAGAGAAATATAGAAAATGAAAGATGGGTAGGATAAAAAATAAAATAAAAATAAATAAGCATTAAAAAAGTTTTTTTTTCTCTTTCTTTTTTTGAGTGTGACTATCTTTTGTGCTGTAATGAAGAAAAAAAAGGTGTTTGGCAAGTGGAAAGAGGAAGTATTATGCCTTAGCCATCAATTTTGGGGTTTGTGGTCAAACATAACAAACCGTGTAAACCAACCTTTTTTTTCACTTGTTTCATACCTAATATTTTATTATATATGTTTTAGTTCGGTGATTTTTTAAAATGTAATTTCTATTATTTAAAAATTTAACTTAGACCTTTCCATTTTAATATTTTTCAATTATATTATTTTTGTCACGGGCAGTGAATGTTGAAATTGGTTGTAATAAACTTACATGACATGATAATTAGTGAGTATATTGAAACTTATGAGAGAAGTTTAGCTGGTTTAGGAGGAGAAAAGTCAACCATCATAAGTGGTTTATTGGTCCAAAACGGCTACGGTGAGTTGAGAAGAATGATTTTAAAACCTCATGATGGCCACTTATCTTAAGAATTAAGTTTTATGTGTTTTCTGGCTGTCCGGTAAAATTAGTTGAGGTGCGTGTAAGCTCACCCATACACTCATGGATATCAAAAGAAAATAGAGAGAAGAAAATTCAGAAATTTCTACCATGTTTTCTCGACGAGGATCAATTAGCAACTTTCATCTTTCAAATGTCCTAATTTCTCTTTTAAATTTCTACTACTTATTAAGTATCATGTCAGGTAAGTTTTGTTATCAACTAAATTTAATATTTACCAAATAGAAAAGGTCCGGTTGAAAAAATGTTAAAAAACAAGGAACTAAATTGAAACTATTTAAACAAAGGACTAAATTGAAAAAAAACACTTAAATATTATCGACTAAAACATATATTTAGTCTTTATATTTTAATTGCTTGAACTCTAAAATATTGTGGTTTAATTTGTAAATGTATGCATATGACACACAATTTTAATTCTTTCGGTTAATTTTTTATTAATCGTTTAACAAGAACTCAAATTGGTTCGAAAGCCCATCACCCAACTTAGTGATCACTTCAAATACTTAATCATATAAATATCTATGTTCAAGTAAATGAAAAAAGTGTATATATGTTAAGTTTTTGTTAAATATTTTATTGAAAAAAAAGTTAATCATAAAAACTTGATTATGATCTAAAACTACCGAAAATAGAGTAGAATATAGTTTAGATATCAAAATAGGATTTAAATCTACATACTAGGCCGGCCTATTATTATATTTTCAAAGAGAACCAAACCACTCATTCGAACTAAAAACCGATTATTAAGGGCATTTGATAACCATCTTATTTTTGGTTTTCGGTTTTTAGTTTTTAGTTTTTCCAAAACAGGTTGTTTGATAACCAACTCAATTTTCTGTCTTTTGTTTTCAACAACCATTTTGAAATTCTATGTAAATTTCAAAAACAACAAAAAAAAGTAGTTTTCAAAAACAAGTTTTTGTTTTTGAAAATCTGATTTTTTCTTCTAATACTTGATTTTTTTTTTCATATTTATATCTAAAAAATTTATTTCTCACTCTAAAATTTTTTTATTTCTAAATTTCTCTCTACAAACTTTATTTTTTTCTCTCTAAAATTTTCATATTTTGAATATTTATTATTATTGATATCTCTCCAAATTTCTGTATTTTTTTTCTAACATACCAGTTTCATTTGTTTCTCTAAAAATTTAATATTTTTTCTAATTTTTTTCTCTCTAGAATTTCATCTTTTATAATTTTTCTTTCTCTTCGTAATCTATTTTTTCCTTTGAAAATTATATTTTATTTTCTCGTTTTTATTTATTTTCGTATTTATTTATTTTTTCTAAAAATTATATTTTGAATTTTGTTTTTATCTTTAAATTTGGTTCGACTATAATTTTTCTCTTTCTTTATAATTTATTTATTTTCCTTTAACATCTGTTTTCCTCTCGAGTTTACTTGTTTTCTCTAAAATTTGTCTTTTTGTCTTGAACTTTTCTTCCACTATTTTTTTTTTCTAAATCTTTTTATTTATCTCTCTAAAATTTATCTTCAAAAAGTTTATTTACATCTCTTGTATTTTCATGTCACATTAGCGGATGACAAAAATCCACGTAGGGCCAGGTCCCAAAAATAAGAAATGCATGTCCCGACCCCGTCCCCATCCCCGATTCCATTTTTAAATAATTAATATATATTTATTACACTTTTTTATACATAAATTCTAACATAATTAAAAACAATTATAAAACCGATAATTTTCTCGAAAATATCTCTCGGACCCAAGAATGAGTTGGAGATGGAGACTAAAAATTTTCACGAGCACAATAATGGGGGAGAGCATCCTCACTCGCATCCATACCATTGTGGTCTCTACTCTACATAAAAATCTCTCTCTCTAATATGTATTTTCAATTTTCTAACTTTTTAGAAACAAAAAACAAAAAATGGTTATCAAACATATATTGTTTTTGTTTTTTAAAAACCGAAAACCAAAAACCAAAAACTAAAAACAATAAAAACCAAAAACCAAAAACTAAAATGGTTATCAAAGGGACCCTAAGGGTCGTTTGATGACCATTTTTATTTTTGGTTTTTTGTTTTTCTTGTTTTTAGTTTTCTGTTTTTAAAAAACAAAAACCATATATATTTGATAACCATTTTTTGTTTTTTTTTGTTTTTGAAAAACAGACCAAACATATTTGGTAACCATTTTTAGTTTCACGTTTTTAAAAAGTTAGAAAATTGAAAATAAGAGAGAAAATTCTATGTAGAGTAGAGATGACAATGTGTGGGTGCAAGTGAGAATGCTATCCTCCATTCTTGTGCCCGTGAAAATTTTTAATCCACGTCTCTACCTTATTCTTTGGTCTGARAGATGTTCTCAAGAAAAGTTATTGGTTTTATAATTGTTTTTTAATTATTTTTAGAATTAAAAAAAACATCATAAATATATATTAATTATTGAAAAAATGGAATCGGGACATTGTTGAGACATGCATTTTCTATTTTTGGGACCTAAATATGCGAAAAAGAAAAATTATAGTGRAAAAAATTTAGAGATAAAAACAAGATTCAAAATATAATTTTTAGAGATAATAAATAAATACAGAGATAAATAAAAGTTACAGTGAAATAAAATTGAATGAGAAAAGAAGATGGAAAAATAGATTAAAAAGAAAAGTTATAAAAGACGAAATTTTAGAAAGAAAAAAGTTCAAAAAAATTTTAAATTTTTAGATAGAAAAATGAAACTGATCTATTAGAAAAAGAAAAAAAATACTAGAGATGAAAATTTGGAGAGAGACAAATAATAATAAATATTCAAAGTATGAAAATTGTAGAGAGAGAAAAAAAGTAAAAATATATAGAGATGAAAAATTTGGAGAGAAAGAGACAAATAATAATAAATATTCAAAAATACGAAAAATTTTAAAGATAGAAAAATAAA